AGCTAAAAGAAAAGGGCAAAGGGCATATAAATCTTCTGACAAGTCAGTAAAGACAAATCAGATAATCCTTTACCAGGTTTGCTACTCAGAGCACTAGGCAGAAGGAATCAAAATCTAAAGACGCAGGCCAAAGCTGCAGTAATTAGGGGCATTTTAAATACTTACTTGGGTCGACATCGTGCTGCATGCCAAGATCCCCAAATAAGTATTTAAAATGTTGCCAAGATACAACTAGATGATAGAAGAATGTTGAACATATACAGAAAGGCTGTAAACTAAAGTGACAGTGGTGCTAAAAGAGTACAAATGTTGGTGATACTATCCACCATTGTTAAACTACAAAGTCATGCTCTAGGGACCCAAATACGAAGTGCAATATCACTACCCTGAGGGTCCCTACTTGACTTGACTAAAGCCAGTATATCAACCATCTATGGACACATCTAAGAGAGCAGCGAAGAAAAAAAAAAACTAGTGTGACATCCAAATAAGTTTTGGAGATCCACTAAATGAAAACTCTAGTGTGACATCTAGAACAGATATCTAGAGATCAACGGTGTCAATTAGCATGCAACAAATGTGGTCTTCTCTAGACGTATACCACATTTGTTGGGGGTTATTTGTTGACCTGTAACGTTGAAAAAAAAATACCATACCTGCCCTGGCATCGCACGACCTTGCACGTCGCTCGTACGTCGACGTCCCTTCTCCCACGACCTCGCATGACCACTCACCCTGCCTCGCTCGTCGTTAAATACCCGAAGGAATGAGGCCTTGGGGCTGGCGGGCTTTTACTTCTCCCTTTCGCGTTACTTCTGCTCCTTCGTCGTTGTTCGACTAGGCTCCTTCCGCGACTCTCCCTTCCCCACGGATCGGAAGTTACAACATTTTGGCGAAAGCGACGAAGGGAGCTCGCTGATCGTGAGGGTGACTTTCTCCCTACCGGACTCTCCTTTGGCTCCCCTTTTTTGTTCGATTTTGCTCGACGACACCCCCTTTCTGTCGGATCGGAGGAAACAACGGGAGCTCGCTGCTCTTCGGCTCCCTTGTGCCGTTCAACTACGCTCCTTGGATGACCTCTTCCAGTCGGATTCGAAGTCACGACATTTTGATCGGAACCCACAGTGGGAGCTCGCTGATTGGGAAGGTAATGATCCTTCTCTCCTTCGTGCGCTTCCCCTTGCCTCGATCTACACGCCAACCACGAGAAGGTACGAACTCCCTAAACTCAAATTCTCGCCCTCGAAGTTCGCGGCGCACCGGAAAATCGTCTATACACGCCTTTATTGCGCGTGGTAGGATGGGACCCCAATGTGGCGCATACGACGAGGCAAGTAATCACCTAAAAGCCCCATTTCAAAGTTCGCGGCGCACCAGAAAACTGTCTATACATGCCTTTATTGCGCGTCGTGGGATGGGACCCCGGTGCGACGCCTACGGCGAGACAGGGTCACTCATAAGTTTTTTCGAGAGGATGGAAGGCAAACTGCATTTTTCAAATAGGTACCGAAGACCCATATACGCCTTTATTGCGCGTGGTGGTAAAGAAGATCACGACTGCTGTATCCTCGTCCGAGGACACCTACCATACACGCCTTAATTGCGCGTGGTGGGAAGGTCCAGTTTCTCGTAATTTTCCCCTAGACGGGGGACGCCGGGAGGCTGCCAAAATTTTGGGTAATATATGATTGCACTCAGACCTGCTTTGAAATTAAATGAACAAGTTGAGGACCAAAGTTTGAACTCAGAAGACAGCAGGGGACTTATACTTGGACTTGTGGACCAAATGCAAATGACTAATAATAAAGGCTTGAACTTAATCAAAATGAAACTGAAATGAGGACCTAACTCAACTCAATACAAATATGAAATTGAACTTGCAAGAACTTCAGAAGACCCTGAAACAAGCACTTGAACTCGAACTGTACAACTTCAAGTGAAACTTGTGGACTTAGATGTGACATAGCACATATGCACTGGACTCGCAAGTGAACTTGTATATTAAACTCAAGTTGGATTCAAACTTGACATGAATAATAAAGAACCTGAATTTTCAAGAACAACAAGGGACTCGGTCTTGCATTTTAATTGGATATCAAATAAGATGAACAAGACTTTGAACATTACTTGAACACTTGAACTTGGATTGAAATCAAATGTCGAACTGGATTACAGTTTGAGCATCAAACAAATGGCATGAAGCATAATTTAAATATCTAAGATAAAAATTGTGATTTGGCAAGGTGATGATGTTAATCTTGTTGGCAAAGGTCAGTGACAAATGCAACAATATCTCTATGTCCGACGTCATTGTACAAATTGCAAGTGGGAGATAAAACCTTAATACATGCAAGAGATGATCGAGGAAATCCAAGTGATTTGGAATATGCAACCAAAGCAACAAGACTTCTTACAAACATTCAAAGCACATACAAGTCCCTACGAGATCAAATGCTCCATACTTACAAGGACAATTGATAGTTGCAAAAAGCATACGTGTGTCCTACATGCGCTATTGATATCTCTAACGCAATCAATGTCGTCTGTTGATTGAAGAAGGCGACACTGGAGATCGATAATGGAGGACTTACCGCCGCAAATAAATTGTGAATGGCAAAGATAGACACGATACAGATGTAATAGACTCCTACGACAATCCTTATAATTGCCTATAGATTGAGATGGAAATACTGTCATTTGATAGCGGAAGATCCGTCCCTACAAACAAGTACAATCATCAAACCACCTGAGATTGGTGAAAAGTGGATATGATGTAAGAATAATGACTCTTCTACGAATATCTCCAGGAGGTCGTAGTGGATACTGCGGTCCCCCGCAAATGTACACGAGCCGATTGTGGATAATAACAGTGGATATATCGTAGGTACAACGAACTACTGTTGGCACAAGTACATATATCATCTACGACAACGGTGATTAAGATCTTCAAGTACGTTTGGTATGAGGGCAACTCGGTGTATGGACAAGGACACCCCCTGGCAGAAGGAAAGGGGTGTTTGAACGAATTAGAACTAAACTTACTGGTGTTCCTAAGTTTTTTCTTAGTCCTATACTTAAGAAGAAAATAGTTATGGTGTCCACAAAGACCAGAAATAACAAGTCTACTATACACGTGACGTCTATGAATGTTGTGCGTGTTAATAAATTTAAACCCGGTCCTCTTAAGCAGGTGAAAAGGAGTTGACAGGGTCTAATTATAAAATGTTCCCAAACACTTGCATGGGCTACGGCGAGCGTGTTAAGTGTACACACGTGACGTCTAGAGATGCTGCGCGGGTTAATAAGTGAATTCAAGTTCGAACTCGATCCTCCTATGTGGATCAATAGGAGTTGAAAGGGTTCGAACCATTAAATAAATATACGGTTGTGGTGACCGGTATATCTGTTTTAATACATTCATATTAGGCCTTCAAGGCCTATAATCAAGAGAATTCACTAATAAAGGCACAATGCCTTAAAAAATCGATCATCTGTCGATTGCTCAAGGGAGTCGACAAGGTTCATCTATAAAATACAAATATTTTCAAATAAAAATGACCCCAAATACCCCGATGATGGCCGTGTTGAACGAAAATCTCAACCGGAGTGGTCAATTCCAAATACTTCAAATGTCCATCAAAATCCAAAACTGCACGAGTTCTGAAATCCAAAAATCATCAAAATTCCAATTTCAAAATATTTAAAATTCAAAAATCAGCCATCCAACCATTTAAAGTAAAATCCATCCACCCTCCGCAATAGTTTGTCAAGGTGGACAAATTCAAATATAACTTCAGCTCACATAGAGCTAATGCCTAGTCGAAAATATCACTAGGATCCATTCTCAAACAATCTCTTGCCAGTAAGGACGTGGTACGTGTCCTCTAACCGGCGGTTTTGCCTCCAAATGGCACCGCAGGATAAACGACTATGACCCGGGGCCTTCTGATCCGAGTGGTTTTGTCGCCAAATGGTACCACGAAATACCGGTTATGGCCAAAGCTAATACGCTTCTTAGTGGCATCAAATCCTTAAGATATGAATCAATAGGATATGATCGATAGGGCACAAAGCCCTCTATTAGCTAAGGTGGATTCAAATTTGTCCCCTTAGGCAAATATTCACCCCATGTCTACAAGGTCGATTGGACGAAGCAACCCTTGGCTGCCGACAAGGATCCTTCTGTCAGGTTGGGTCGACTACCTCTTTTGACTAAGTAAACTAGGGACCACGATGGCCTGGGACGACGGAACCATAGGATCTTGATCGGGTCTATCTTTCATTCCTCCACCATCCGCTTTAAGTGCAAGATGGTGAAAATTTCTAATTTTAAATACATCTTCCAAACCTTAAACATCTCAAATCCAAACCCTTGCTGCTACTATATGTCAGATAACACGTATACTCTATGTATCTGATTGACGACTAGCCTTAATTGAAAGTTCTCTCTTGTGATCGGGAGGGGTAATTAACTATAGGGGCTTGCGCCTATAGGAAACCAGAATTGAGATCATAAAGTCCTCACAAAATGAGGGTGAAATCTCTGGTTAGTATCTTATCTACAAACCCATCTACCTTCCAAAATTTACCCCGGAACTTAAATCCGTTAACACTCCCCTTGCCGAAGAAAAAGCACACAGCGTCGGGCGGAGACCGGGGCCGAATTTTCGGAGCCCATAGATGGTTCTGTCATTTCCATGGAAATATATGCTTGGGACATTAACTGTGGATTAATGAGATTGCTGACACAAGTTCGATAAAGAAAGTCTTATCAAAGTTCTAGTGATGCCAATTTTCATCACTACTTGCAATTACTACAGTATTACAGATATAATTGTTTTTAATTATCTTTTTTTTTCCCGGCCCTTTTAAAGTTGTAATACATTTTTAACTTGCTTCATATTCTCTTATTTGTTTGTAGAATTATATGTTTTCAAAATCATGCTTGTTGTTGCTAATATTGGCATAGTTTCTATGATTAAGATCGGTTTACTTTGCAGCATAGCATATTAAATGAGGTGGTGGCCAATCTAATTACACCACTGTTTGCACATCGAATTCCCCGGTGGCCATTCTTTGCATTCCTAGGTGGGGCAATGTTCTGTCTTCTGGCAAGCAGTGTGTGCCATCTTCTTTCTTGTCACTCCCGACGCTTCGCGTATATTATGCTCCGTCTGGATTATGCTGGTATTGCAGCTCTTATTTCCACATCCTTCTATCCTCCAGTGTACTACTCCTTCATGTGTGATCCCTTCTTCTGCAACCTATACCTTGGCCTCATCACCCTTCTAGGGTGTACGACAATGCTGGTTTCCCTGCTTCCAGTCTTCCAAAATCCCGAATACCGATCAATAAGGGCAGGACTCTTCTTTGGCATGGGCATTTCTGGAGTTGTGCCAGTGTTGCATAAATTGATTGCATTCAGGAACCAACCTGAGGCTGTGTATACCACACAGTACGAAGTTTTGATGGGAATTCTGTATGGACTTGGAGCACTGCTCTATGCTACTAGAATACCTGAACGATGGATGCCCGGGAAATTTGACATTGCCGGCCACAGTCACCAGCTATTTCATGTATTGGTTGTTGCAGGAGCTTTAACTCACTATAAAGCAGGGCTGGTTTACCTCAAGTGGAGAGATCTACAAGGATGCGCTAAATAGGGCTCCCTACATACGTCTTCCGTATTGAATAACTGTTACGTGTGATAGTCATTAATTCAAACTTAGTTATAGATATAAATATCCAGTTTCTGTTCAAATAAATGGTTAAATAAACGTTGTTTACTGTTCAGGAAAATTGCAAAGCTAATTTTATGTTGTATACAAAACAGATGTTCTAAGAATTTATAAATGCTACGTGAATTGTACGGATATGCTTGAGACCGTCGCCTTACATCTTAAGTATCATTTTTTATTAGCTTTACCCGTTTTGATGTATTATGCATGCTTCTGATTTTCATCGAATGCTATTTTTTTCCCCCTCAAACCATCAGCATTCACCTTTGGAGGAAGGCATGAAGAAAAAAATTTCTCTGCTAAGCCTTTAGGCTTTGTTTACATTGTAGTAAATGAAATAAAACTTCAATATCTCTAATAATTATAAATTTGTAATTAGTTATTTACCAGGGGGGGGGGGGGTTTTTCAGGGGGGGGGGGTATTTTTTTCATCATTTAAATCTATAGTTAGATTATATTTCATTATAACCAGAGGGCCGTGAACATCTTTATCCTTTCAAGGAGAATATGTAACGAGCCAAAGAAGAACCCCTTACAGTAACAGCTATCCAATATTCCAAGTGGTGGCATTTGGTTAGCTAGTGTAATGCCTAAGCAGCAAATGCTAACTAACGAGCAAAGTTACCATTGGACAAAACACTTCCTTTCCCCCAACAAAAGAAAAAAATAAAATAAAATAAGGAGAAAAAAAAAACAATATTTATTGGATCACAGCAGAAATTTCATTAGTATGGCATGTACCACCTCAGCAATTTTTATGTACAAGAAAAAACAAGGTGAGTTAAAAATTTTCAACAAAATTTTGAAAGATCTTGAGCGGATCTCATCTGGCGATGGATGCAACAACCAATATAATATAGAATATTAAACCTCAAAGGCCACTCTCGGCTCTTTAGTTTTGGACTCGTAGAAAATTTTACTAACCAAAACCCAGCAAATCAGGCGCAAGACGTAATAAGGGTTCTAAAGCACTAGGAGAAAACTTCCTTCCAAAGAGAAAACAAATCGTAGAGTCGTAGTTATTGTATGAACATGTAAATCCATTGAGAATTCTCTTTAGAAATGCCTCTGTGACATCGCTTCTCCCAAATGTAGCAGGATGAGCCCCACCTCTCGACCAGTCCACCCAAGTTAAACTTCTGTTTGCCAAAAGATGAGATGATTCGATTGTAAGCAAGGTAGGAAAGTAGTGCTCATCGACATAACAATGGGGTTTGCAGAATTTCTCAAACTTGGGATAATAAGTTTTGTCCTTGACAATTGTGATTGCAAGCTTTCGGTTAACCTCAAACCACTGTGATCCTTTACGCCACTGTTCAATACTGACCTCAGGTAACATTCGGTGGTCATATCGGCCCCTACCGTAGGGGCCAGGATCATCGAGTGACCCAATAAAACTGTATCTAGATTTTGACAAGTATTTGTATACTATGCTGAAGTTGTGAAGGGGTATGCAACTCTCAGACAGCAGAACAAACCATTCATTGGAAATATCTAGCAGGGCATTTGCAAGGAGCCTTCTTTCAGCATCACACATGCTCATCTGCCCCCACTCTGACACCTGAAGTCTCACCATAAAATGCCATGTAAAATGTCAGCATTATTTCATATGGACTGTCAGCTAGTTAAAAAACTGTAGGCATAATAGCTTGTGAATGCTGTTTCCTATTTCTTCATTATAACATGCATCTGTTTCAAACGAACAGCTTAATTTTCAATGCAGATATGCTACAAGGCCGAATGTACTTTACAAAAATTCAAGACCGAATGTACTTCACCAAGACGACTTGAGGAAAATTATTATTAAGTTGAATTCTTTTATCATCAATAATATAATATTTATAAAAATTAATTTTGAATTTCTGTAAAATTATCTGCATTCTTAGCAACTATCTTTGCAATTTAAAGATAAGGCATTAGTCAGCATCGGCCAAAATGCACCAGAGGACATTATCAAGTCTTTATCACAGTCAACACATTTTAAGAACCATATCACATAAATACCTCTGTCTACTTCTCTTTCAACATACACTATGATTATGCAGTGTTTGACACATGTTGAATATAGACATGCATCCAATAAGTGTTCTACAAGTATCAAACACAGTTGTCACATGGCCAATTAAAAAATAATTTAAAAACTGACATGCATGTCATAAAACTTAATTAAATTTTTTTAAATAACTAACTAATTGTCATTTTATTTTTCATTTTCATTTTCCTCAATAGCACTTCTATCGGAAATCATCCGGCTCAACAATTTTCCTTTCTCACATGCTCAACTAAAGTTGGGTCAACATTGCCAGATATATGTATCTAATTGTCAACTTCCAAGGCTCGACTCTTGAATGCTTGTGTAATGCTCAAAAACCCAGGTAATGAACATAAATATGTATTATAGTCAACTTGCACCAAATAAATTTGGAATGTGACTTGAAGGAAGATAAATATAAGTTACCAAAATGTGTTGTAAGCACCATGACAGTGAGGAGACCGACAATGTGACATTGAGATCTCTGTTTGATGGTTGGATTTAGGGAGCGTTGTGGCACCAAAAAGCCACAACGATATTTGATTGAAAGATTCTCTACGAGCATTGCGGCACCGCGAAGGCTAGCACCACGGCGCTAGGTCAGATTTGTGATTTTTAAATAATAAAAATATCTTAAACCATTTGTCTAATTCATTTTCCCAAGCCACCTTGTGAGAGAAGAAAGGAGAAGAACGAGAAAGGAGAGAAGCTTTGGCAAGCAAAGCTCGGGTTTCATCCGTCAGGCATGTTTAGGATATTTTCAAGCACGAGGTAGACTTGATGTAGGCAAGATTTCAGGTTTCCTCCCTCCCTATTCGTCTGCCCCTTCGGTTTTTGTGTGATGGTTCAAATTCCCTGCTTATCAAATGCTATTTTGATTTTTTGATTTCCCCCTAAAGCTATTGTTTTTGCTTCAGTTTTCCCTCCCACGGCTATCCCTTTGAGTTCAGCAATTTTTATGTGTTTATATTGGCTGATTTTGAGGTGCATTAAATACATGTATTAATTGCCTTTTTTACCTTTTCTTCTCCTATATAAGGGCTATTTTGTGTCTGTTTTAGAAGAGTTTTAGAAATGAAAATTTGTGAAATGTAAAGGCCTGTAGGTTTACATAGCTTGCGAGCTATTGTCTTCTTTCCCTTCTCTTAAAATTCGTCTTGGTCTTCTAATCCCTACTTTTCTATCCATGATTTCCGCCTCACTTGTATCCTTCTTCTAAAAAATATATTTAAGTTTTATGGTTTATGTTTGTCATGTTTGTTCTTAAGGAAGACGTTTAGTTTTTGCAATCCTAAAAGTTGTCTGTGCTTGTGTTGTACTTTTTTTTGTTACACCAATTGGTATCAGAGTCTTAGGTTTTAGTGTGTCTTCCTTTCTTTTCTTTAGAAACATTAAAAAAAAAGGACAATCATGATATAATAGAATCTGTTATTGACGAAAATCAGCCATCTATTCTTGAAGACAAAATTCCAACATCCAAATGGATCCCACCGCAAGGAAGCTCTACCGATCCAATTCAGAACAAACTCTACAAAATTCAAGAAAAAATATACTTTTGTGCAGAAAAATATGAGAGTAAGAAATGTTTACTTCTAACCGAATCAATCTAGAAAAGGAGACGATCAAAAAGAAGTACGTTGCTTTGATTCGGGAGCTAGATTTGGCCTAGTCTGCGCACCATGGAAGTCCAGAATCTTTTCCATCAGGGAGATGAAATTCTTTCGCTAGGGGAGAATTGATGTAGGCAAGATTTCAGGTTTCCCCCTTCCCTATGCAACCGCCCCTTCAGTTTCTATGTGATGCTTCAAATTCCCTGCTTATTAAATGTTATTTTGATATTTCAGTTTCCCCCTAAAAGCAGTTTTTTTTTGCTTCGGTTATCTCTCCTACGGCTATCCCTTTGGGTTCCAATGTGCTGCAATTTTTGTGTGTTTCTATTGGCTGATTTTGAGGTGCATTAAATACATGTATTAATTGTCTTTTTTTATATTTTCTTCTTCTATATAAGGACTGTTTTGTGGCTATTTTAGGAGAGTTTTAGAAATAAAAATTTGTGAAATGTAAAAACCTGCGGGTTTACATAGCTTGCGAGTTATTATCTTCTTTCCCTTATTCTCTTAAAATTCGTCTTGGTCTTCTAATCCCTACTTCTCTATCCATAATTCCCACCTCACTTGTATCATTCATCTCAAAATTATATATAAGTTTTACAGTTTATGTTTCTCTTGTTTGTGCTTAAGGAAGCCATTTAATTTTTGCAATTTTATTACATCATGATTGACTCTGATACCAAACGTTTACTTCGAGCCGAGTTTAATCGAGAAAAGGAGATGATCGAAAAGAAGTACACTGCTTTAATTTAGGAGTTAGATTTGGCTGTCTGCACACGTTGGAAATCCAAAATCTTTTTCATCAGGAGATGAAATTCTTCCGCTAGGGGAGAATTAATGTAGGCAAGATTTCAGGTTTCCCCCTTCCCTATGCGGCTGCCCCTTCGGTTTCTACGTGAAGCTTCAAATTCCATGTTTATTAAATGCTATTTTGATGTTTCAGTTTCCCCCTAAAAGCTGTTGTTTTTGCTTCGATTTTCTCTCCTACAATTGTTCCTTTGGGTTCCATTGTGGTGTAGTTTTTGTGTTTCTATTGGCTGATTTTGAGGTGCATTAAATACATGTATTAATTATCTTTTTTAACTTTTCTTCTCCTATATAAGGGCTGTTTTGTGGTTGTTTTAGGAGAGTTTTAGAAATGAAATTTGTGGAATGTAAAAATCTACGGGTTTACATAGCTTGCGAGCTATTGTCTTCTTTCCCTTCTCTTAAAATTCGTCTTGGTCTTCTAAATTCCACTTTCCTCCTTTCCATGGTTACACACGCCTCATTGTAATACATCTGCTTCTACAAAATAATAATAATATAATAAAATAAATATATAAATAATATAATATGTAAATATTATATTATGTTTATGATTTTTATCATGATTTTAATGTAAGCTATAAGGAGGACGAATTTTAGTATATGTGGACAATCTTAATTTTTTTTATGTTTGTGTTGTATTTTTTTTATTGCATTAATTGGTATCAGAGCCTTAGGTTTTTGTGTCTTCCTTTTTTCCTTTCTATTTTTTTTTTTTAAATGGACAATCATGATGTAATAGAATCTGTTATTGACAAAAATCAACCATCTATTCTGAAAGACAAAATTCCAACAAGTAGATGGATCCCGCCGCAAGGAAGCTCTATCGATCCAATCCAGGACAAACTCTACAAAATTCAAGAAAAAATGATTTTGTGTGCTGAAAGATATGAGAAGTGAAAGAGCCAACTTCAAGCCCAATTTATTCAAGAAAAAGAAATTATTCAAAGAAGGTACGTGGCTTTTGCACAAAAGTTGGATTTGGCTCAGTCTACACACCTTGGAAGTCCAGAATCTTTTTTCATCAAAAGATGAAATTCTTCTACCAGAGGAGAATTGATGTAGGCAATATTTCAGGTTTCCCCTTCCCTATGCGGCTGCCCCTTCGGTTTCTGTGTGATGCTTCGAATTCCCTGCTTATTAAATGTTATTTTGATGCTTCGGATTCCCCCCATTGGTTGCTGTGTTGCTTCGATTTCTTCCCTAGGTGGCTGCCTCTTCAGTGCCTGCTTGTTGAGGTTTTCAAGGGTATTCTAGTGGCTGTTTTTGAGGTACATTAAATACATGTATTAATTATCTTTTTACCTTTTCTTCCCCTATATAAGGGTTGTTTTGTGGCTGTTTTAGGGAGTTTTTTAAAAATGAAAATTTGTGGAATGTAAAAGCTTGTGGGTTTACATAGCTTGCGAGCTATTGTCTTCTTTTTCATTCTCTTAAAATTCGTCGTGGTCTTCTAATCCCCTCTTCTCTATCCATGATTCCCGCCTCACTTGTATCCTTCTTCTCTAAAATATATATAAGTTTTATAGTTTATGTTTGTCATGTTTATGCTTAAGAAAAACGTTTAGTTTTTGCAATCTTAAAATTTTTGTGTTTGTGTTGTATTTTTTTTTGTTGCATCAAGACTTCTAAACCCTAGCATCTGATTTCAGCTCCAATAATTTTATAAAATGTTATGAATAAAAAGATGTTTTCCCAAAATTTTACAATGTTTTCACTATATAAGTTTTGATATGTTGTCGTATGCTTTTCCCCGAACGTTTGACTATAAGAAATAGGATTTTCACCATTGGATTTTTCCTATGCAAATTTTTTAGTATATAAATTGAGGCTTTCTGACAATTACAATAGTTATATAAGCATCTTTAAATATTTGTATGAATATCCCTCTGAAGTTGGAATGTAAACAAGAATGTTCAGTGAGTATAAAATTATACTAGCAATGTGTCTTTTTATAGGTACTTCATGCATTATTGTTTATTGCATTAAATCTATAATTTAATTATTGTTGCATTTGCATTGTTCATAGCATGATGTTGGAGATGATATGATGTGCAAGAAAGTGCACTCTCTGATATGTGTTAAGTGTTCTATATATTAAGTTTTGACCAT